ATTGACAATCAGCACAGCCACCCCGTTAAGAGTGCTACTATCCTGCCCACTCCTCTCACAGAACCAGCTCACTAGTCTACTCCATCTTACTGTCACTCCTTAGCTGGAGGTTTTACATTTTCCAGAGTAAATGGGTGCTGCAGAAAGAAGGTACAAGTTCCCTACAATCAAATAATCAATAGAAATGTGAAGACCATTTGAAGACTGACAGCTAGGGAATTGCATCTGCCCTTCACTCTTCTTTTTCCCCTTTTTTCTTGTACTCTAGTAGTACTCCGTTCCCTGTAAGACAAACAAAGATTTTGGCCCGCTTTTCTAGAGTCTGTTTTGTAGGCACTACATGTCAGTATGTCAGAATTTAATCAAATTAATGGTTACTCTGGCTCCCCAGAGACACTGAGCAATATAAAGAACCTGCCCTCTAAAAATGAAGAAGCTCTTCTTTACCCTGTCCTTCAGGATGTAGTGCCCTAATGGACCCTTCCCCCTGAGAGGGAACCATATGCATTAAGTAGACTCTTAAGTTTCTGTAAGAAACACACAATACACTGTTTAGACAGTTTAGCTTCAGCTAAATAAAAGTCAAAACAACCTACAGAACCAGAATGTTGCCTTCATATTTTATCAACAACCATGATTATTCCTGGCTATTCCTGCCATTTCAGATACATTTTCTAAATTGTGTTCTCCATGGGCCAGAGGCTCATTTTTTTATATATATAACCATTAATTTTGCTAAATACTTTAAGAAGTAAATTATTATGTGATATGAGAAAAGGTACCATCACATCTGTTTTCCTATATTGCATAATCCTAAGAATGACCTATATGCTTTGTAAAAATGAAAACATATTAAAATATTCCAAAATCAAATACTACAGTATACAGATTCAACTCAAAATGTTTTTACAACCTTAAGTGACCATTAAAATTTTGGCCCTAGAGGTATAAAAGTAGAAGCTGTACTTCTGTCAGACATTTAAATGATGATGGGACTGATAGAGCATCTGGTGTTTCAAGTAGTAAGAATATCTAGAAATCACAGAGTATATATTCTGAGATTAACCAGTTGAATTTCATATCCTTTTATCAAAGACAGGAGTAAAATATGAAAGAAGAGAGGAGAGGAGAGGAGAGGAGAGGAGAGGAGAGGAGAGGAGAGGAGAGGAAGGTATCTCATCTTTTAACTCACTATTAGTATTTAGGACTTTAAATTGGCCTAATATGAAAGAAACAAAAGAAAGTTGTAAATCATATTTCTTTTACTTCATAAGAAACAATGTTCTATATTAAAACAATCCATGTTTTGATTCTAGTATTTACATTGAGAAATTAGGATTCTCTTCCACCGTTTTTCCTCTTTTATCACAGAATTTCATGCACTTTTGATATAAAATGTGATTCTGTATGGTCAAAATTACTTGTCAAAAAAATAAAAAAAAAAGAAACTGAGAAAAAAGAATCACTCTAATAACAAACCTAAGCCAGTCTGATAACCAACCTAAAACAAGCTAAAATAATATTCAGAACTAGGGATTTATTGCGTTTTTTTACGGTTTTACTGCTTGGGTCAACACTAATTCAGGAGACCATAATACAGAAAGTTTTACTGATATTGCTAACAGAAGGTAATATTCTTATAAAAAAAGCTTTTTTTTCTTTAAACAAACTATCAGGTTTTTAAATCAGAAGCACATTTCCCTTTGTCAAGTCATACTCCCATCTACTTTTTCTTACTATAATTCCCTGCTGACGATTTTTCATTGTAGCCACGGAGTGGGAAATCCTACTTCCATTAAAATCTTCATTCACAAATACCATCTTCTGGTGAGTTTCAGGACAACTAAAGACTAAAAAATATAATTTTGTACTCTGTCCTTTTTCAATGATTTATCTTCAGGAATGCACTTTCTGAAGGCAACTGATGCCATTTAATTTTTTTAACTGATAATGTATTTTTTTTACTGAAGATGAGAAGTTGAAAATACCTAAATTAATGGTTCTGATTTTAGTGTAGACCCTTAGAAAAATTAATTACCAGTTGTTAAGTCTGTGTAGAAAACATGGAAGCAGCAGTACTACTAGCCTCAGAAATGGCAGCATCAGGATGTAAGCACAGATTGCCAAGGCATTTCTGTCAGCTGTTTCTTACAAATCCAAGCAATTCCTGCTCATTTACTCATTTGTGGATGCTGCCTCTTTGTGGCAGAATGCCATGTAAAATGTACCTTTCACATTTAGGACCTAATCTTACATCTGTATTGACACCTAAGCAAACTTCCGTTTATCAGTTGAGAATCACAGAGAGAAAAAACATAATCATAAAAAAATAAAGAATATATACACACACGAACAGACACACACTGTTTGCAGGACCTTCGCATTCAATCTTTACTGAGTTAGCCCTTCTTCTAGAGAATGATGAAGCTAGTGAGGCTGAAAATTTTCTTAGTTATACCCATTTAACAGCAGTGTGCCTCCACTGAGTTTAAATGGAAGGAGAACCAGGCCACTGGTTTCAGCAATAGTTTTAAAGGAGGTTATTCAAAATTAGGGCTCCAGAACTGCACCTCAGGCAGCAATACTCACATCTCTCTCTAGCGTCAATGGGAAGTCTGCAGGAGACCAAGAGCAGTGCACGGAATTGCCACGTGTTTTGTCTCTTGTGACAAAAGAACACTCATATCTGCGTTTCAGACTGAAATAACACCCCACTTACTAAACTGTCCAAACTAAATACAGGCAAGGGGTTTTATTTACCTTTTGTTGTTGGTGGTTTTTTTGTTTGCCTTTGCTCAGTGTGTGTGGCATAGAAGGAAGAATACATGCCAACAAAACATTTATATTGAGTTCAAATGGACCAGTTATATAGGGGGTTTTCTTGTTGGTTTTTTGTTGTTGTTTTTTTTAAGTGACAGATTATAGACATGGATAGGAAAAGAAAAGAGTCCTTTTGCAATAGAAGATGTAATACCGAATAACGCTGCAAAGAATAACCCAACGAAGAAAGATAAAAATGCAGGTGAAATATCACTTACCCTGTTCCATATATTAAAGAACCCTTCATCACAGAGCAAAATGCAAATGTAAAACTATCCTATTCCATATATTGGTGAAACACCTATCTGTGTGTCACTCTCAGAACCATGTTATGTACGCTAGTAATTACCATATGTCATGTTTTGAAAACAGAGAAGGCATTATGTTTTGCCTAAAAATGTTAGATCTTTCTGATGAGCCATAATTGCTAGCAAAGAGAATCCAACATACAAACATTATTTGGCAAGAAACATTAAACTTCAGATACTCTTTACTTCATATTCTAACATTTGAAATATTTATCAAGTGTTTATTCAGAAACTACTAAAAAAATCACATGTGCTGGGATACATATGAGACATCAGTTGTCCCATCTTACAGTGCTGCTGTGTTTATGAATATCCTTGCCATTGCCTGCTGCCCAAAGGGGTAAAGACATTGAATACAGATGTGTAAAGTCTATCATTTGGTCTTTCACCACGCCAATAAACACAAGGATCTGACCAACTGCAACTGTATGTGACTAAACAATCAAAAAATGGCTACAACAGTTGTAAAATTATTATATTTTGGTTAACTAATTAAAAAAAAAAAAAGAAGAAAACTGGCAAATCAAACTTTTTTTCCCTGCTAAAATGAATGCCTTCTACATGTCCCTCACTAGTTTGCCTAACCAGATGCCTGAACTGGAGACTGCTAAAAGGTATATTTTTAAAAAAAGAAACATGATTTTTTTTCTATTGTCATCAGATGGTATGTTTTGGATTGTCTGTTAAGATTTGGTCATAATTGGCATTATCTCTAATGATTTGAAGGGCCCTCCTGATACTACATCAGCTTCGGGAAAAAAGCTCTCAATGTAGTGCAACACTTTAAAGCAATCTGCAGACTTTTTACCCCATCCTGAAAAATGAAAAAAACACTTTAATCATCCCAGTAATTTTACTTGTAAGAACAGTTCTGTATCCTCTATCCTAATGTTTTGGGCATTCAACTAACTTTGCTCAATGAGTGAGTCTATAGGACTACACACATTGGTAAAGGTGTTCATATGCTTAAGTACCTGCAGGATGAAGGGCTGAACTGGGACCTCTTTCACAAGTAGAGATACTCAAGTAAGAATTTTCAGGATTAGGCCCTAAAGTAGTGAAGGAAAAAGAAACACTAATGTGCATATAAAAATAGGTGCTACAATAAAATATTTTTTATATATATTTCATCAATAAGTTATTTTCACTAACCACCAATGGATCATATATTTCTGCACTCTTTAATGATTTGTCCACATCTACAGCGATCCTTTTAAAGATCTTAATATATTTTTAATTCAAAAGTCCAGAAAGCATACAAACACATCCTTAAAAAAAAGGAAATCGTGTATTAAAGTCGGGGTGTGCTAATCTCTCCATAAAAGCCATTTACTCACCCATAGCTAAAAGGGGGAAATGTGCACTGTACTCGTGAACTAAAAAGAAAAAAAAATATATTAAAATGTCTGTCCCAAACTGAAAAAAAAAAAAAAAAGGGACCATGACTTTTGTACTTGTAACCTAAATATGACCTGGTAAGACCATCCTGTCACCTTCCCTAAGAACACATGGACACAAGCACAATGCCACTTTTCTGCCCAAATTACACAATAGGTGGTTTCTTACTTTCAAACAGAGTAAAATTAAAAAATTATATTTAAAAAAAACCAAACCAAAACAAAAACAAACAACGAACTGAAAATAAAATAAACAGCACACCCTTTTAGAATCATTCCCCGAAGCTGAAAAATCCTGTGCCAAGGCACTTCACCCTACAATAAAATTAATTAAAGGGGAAAAAAAGGAGGGGGGCAAGGTGGAGAGGAGGTCAGCATTTACGTTTCTTTGTTTTGCGTGTGGCTGTTAAATACAAATACGCTAGAGAAGGAGCTGCTGTGGTTGGCGGGGGCGGGGGGGGGAGGGGGCTGTTTCTCAGAACTGGCTGAATGTGGTCTGTTTTTCCAGCACTTCGAGGTAGTCCGGCTCTGCGTTTAGTTTTGCTTTTAGCTCCAAGTACTCGTTCCTGTTGGGCTCTACAAAGACAGTACTCGGGGGGCTGTAGAGCACTGTCTCCCGGAGCCTGCTGTCCCCCGGCCCCGGGTGCGAGTACTGGTGGGCACGCCTAAGGTCATAGTTGGGGGAGTAGGTATAGGTGGCGGGGAGCTTGGGGTAGTCGGGGAGGGTGGAGCCGGGTGTGCCCAGCGTGGAGGAGGAGGAGTGTTTATCGGGCTCCAAAATGCCCCTGTAAAAGCGATCGGCGTCTTGCACCGGGGACAGCAGCTCCTCCCGCGGCTCGCTAGTGCTGACGC